GGGGGGAGGGGGTTGGTGGTGGAGTTTTTTTCTAAATTGCTTCAAAATCTGCCTCCCTTTTTTTTTTTTCTCCTGAGTAAAACGCAAGCTGAGGTGTCACGTAGCCGGGTCGGTACCGTTGGTGTGAGTATTTGCCTCTGTGAAATACTCAACACCTCTGTCAGCCCACCTGAGCTTGGGAGGAACACAGACAAAACCTCCCGTGTGGGAAATATGAGCAGCAAGCCCCTAATCCCTGAGGGGCTTCCTCTCCCGGTTTGTTCACTGACGTTCCTCGTTCAGTCTAAATTATCCCAATTTCCGTTCTTGATACAAAACCATTACAAAACTAACCACCTTTAGCGGGAAGGTCTCAGCTGCCTGCCACTTTAGTCTCTCTACATCAGCTCCCCCCAGCAGAACGGCAGGAATTTTAAGCCGCCTCTGCCGTGGTTCATTCTGCTTTGCTGGCCTGGCGGGCCGGTTGCCGCGGGGAAACCTTTCCAGAGGGGCAATAAGGCCCCTTCAGGTGACTGAAAATGTTCCCCTCTCGCTGCTCTGATTCGTTTCCCCATTAGCAGAGGAGACAGAAGTACGGTCCTTATCGGCCCGAGGCGCTTGTCACCGTGTGAAGCTCTTGAACTGCTTTGAATGAGAAAAAAATCAAATGCAAAGTCTTGTTATTGGCCTCATTAATTTTGGAGGAGATTTATGTCAAAAATGCCGCGGATGTGTTTCATGCCTTTAGTAGCAAGAATCTCTTGTCTTTTGGGATTTATTATCTGCCTTTTTCCCTCCCGCTTTGTTCACAGGCCCTCAGTTTTCAGACGACCCCTCCCAGTTGCAGCCCTCTCCGTTCGGCGACTACAGACAATACCAGTGATCATCCTCCTCCTCCTCCCAGTTCACGTTGTACCTGAGCTGTCACTGAAAAGGCTGGAGGACCAAGCTGTGGTATGTCTTTACACCGGGGGTAGTCACAAACCATGCCGAGAGGACCTTCAGCACTTCTCAGTGTAAAACTGCCCGGGAGAACTTTTAGAAGATGACAAATCTATTTATTCATGATAGATTCCATTGCTGTAACGTTAATCCATGTCTGATAGAATACACGGAGGTTTAAGGCAAGGACCACACGGAGTCTTGTCGTCCTTTGGACATGGACTGAAGTGAAAGTCTTTGGAGTCTTCCCTGGGATGTGGCCTTGACCATCCGCGGTGAACGCAGCGGGAATTTGGTCTCTTCCCCATCGGATTTAGGTGGCTGCACCTGTTTCAGCCTGAGGAAAAGAGTTCATCTACACGCAGTTTTACCTGCCTGAGGTGAATGGGATGGGGAGAATGCGCCGGCCGGTGGAAATCTCTTCCAGCAATGTGCGTTTCCCTGCTGCTCTTTGCATTCCAGGCTGCTGCCACGCAGCCCAAGCGCTTTGTTCGAGCGGGATCTGCCTCTGGCGGGGCTGCCGGCTGCAGCACGCCTCCGCCGTCCCCTCAAGCCACGCGGCTTTGAGCCCCTTTTAGCAAGAGGTGGCAGCAAACTCGTCCTTCACCTCTGCTGCTCCTTGCTGGGGCTCGTTTGCCTATTATTTTTCCCCTCCAAGGGGAACACCACAGGCAGTTTCCCCTCCTAGAACTGCGGGGAGGCGTGTGGAGAGGCCCCGAACAGAAACCACGTAGGCCTGTGGGGCTGGAGGGTGAAGCGTTGCACCTGCGTGCCTGCTGCCAGCGCAGCCTCTTGCCTTTTCGCCTCAGATCCCCTCCTGAGCACAATTAAAACAGCTGCTCCATGGTTTTGTTTTTAAACTCCAGCTGGGGAGGCACGTTCCCTCTTGCCAGTGGTTAAAAAAACCCTGGCCAGGGAGGTTTTCTGTTGTTCGTGCTAGTTACTGCTATTGCTTGCGGGCAGTTCCTGGTGGAATATCCATATTCAAAGAGACTTGAGTGATAGCTGAGCTGCTTCACGGCTTTTCCTCTGCCCAGGAAGGAGCTTGATCTCTGTCAGGAAACTAAGTCAGACCCAAGTAGCAGGAGGAGAGGCTGAAAGTCACACGTGATCTTAATGGGTGACAAAGGGGGGGCTTAGGCTTGTCCGAAGCGTCTGTGCAAGCGCCGATCCCGACCATCTCCTCTATCCTGTCGTCCTGGACAAGCGACATTTTCCTGTTTCCACCCCCCTGCCTGTCCCAGAACCACTCCAGGACCGGGGCGGGGGGGTGTCCCTTACTGCGTCATATAGTTGCTGCTGGTGTGTAATTTTCAAAACCCTGAAGCACAGAAGTGTGTGTGTGTGTGTGTGTGTGTGTGTGGGCGAAGGCTGGTCCGGCTTTGCTGCTCACCTGGTTCCTCGGGCGAGCCTGAAAGACCCTTTTCTTGATTTGTGTCACTCAGCCAGTGCTCTCTCCTGGTCTCGGTGGAGCCCCCAGCTATCGAGTGGGGTGACCCTTTGAGAGAGACTTCCCGTCCGCTGCGGAGCCTCCCCTGGCGACCCAAAGCTGCCTGTTCAGTCACCGGAGGTTTTCCTGTCCCCTTTCTACAGCATTAGAGCGCTCGGGTGTGTTCCCACCTGCGCGCAGCTCCAGGGTTTCCTTCTGTGCCCCTGAGCGGTCCGTAGGGGGTTGCTGGGAGCGGGGAGGACTCGGCCGAGTCTCCTCCTGGCCCGTATTGAAGCAGCAGCAGCCTGGAGCGCTCGGGTGGCCTCTCCCAGCGGTGCTTTGCCTGGGAGCGGGCTCTGGCCGGGCTGGGCCAGGGGGGGCGCAGGACCCGGGGTGGGTTGATCTGCAGCGGGGGAACCCGCTGCTCCCCAGCCGGGGGTAGGGGGCTCCCCGCAAAGCTGGGCCACATCCAGACAGCTCAGAAGGGGCCACCATAGAGCTCTTCCCCTGCAGCAGCAGGGACAAGTGCCACCCGTGACTGGCCGTGGCCCAGGGGCTGTGGTGGCCCTGCCAGGCTCCTCCCTCACCCCTGTAACGGGGCTTCG